AGATCTTCAAACCCTCTACTAAAAGTCAAATGAGAAAAACGAAACTAAAATTAAATTCCATGTGGCACACTTTGGGAGGAAAAGTTGAGTGGTGTGGTGACCTAGAGTTGGAGCTTTTGCTTCACAATCAGGAGGCTGTGAGTTCGATCCTAGATAGAGGCAGATATTTCTTTCTCTGGGAACAATGAGAATACTGTGAATTCTGCATTGGTGACAGGAAGGGCATCCAGCCAGTAAATGCTCAGCTCCATTCAGTTGCCCCGACTCCACCCTAATGCAAGGGATTACAGGGTCATTAAAAGAGTCTCTGGGAGGAAAAGTTGGTCTTTAAAGAAGTAGGATAGGAAGAATATTGACACCTTTGAACTTGGGAGTCAGAGAAGACTCCTGTGAATACCAAGGACAGCTAAGAAAACAAATTGATGGATCATTGAACAAATCTTACTTGAGGTACAAATTACCTAGCTGAAATTATCCTACTTTTTCAAACTTGTTATGTGAAGACCCAGATCTCTGGAAAAGGCTCTAATGCTGGGAAAGATAGAAGGAAAGAGAAGAGAATGACCAGAAGCAAGATGGATGAACTCAGTTACAGGGGTACCAAGTATACTGTTGGAAGAGTTGAAAGAACAGATTAAGGATAGCTTTTTAGCTGTGGTTGCTAGGTGTCAAAAATGGCTTGATGGCAAATAATGAATCAGTCAATCAAAACTGCATACATGCAACACTGGCCATAATTTGCAAAACAAAATTTTTCTATTTTTTTGTCCAGAATTTTCTATTCAAGGAAGTATTCTTTCAATTACTTCAAATGCATTTAGTCCTTAATGTTTCTTAGTGCATTAAAATTAGATGTGTCTAATCACCATCTTCTTAAATCATTTCTCGGTTGATGTGACAGCTACTGTAAGTGCTAAGCACTAGCATATTGTTCTCAGTTATGTCCTGGTAGAATTCTGATTGTTGGATAAGGAAGGATGTGAACTATTAATGGTAAAGAATAAATTGCTTTTTTTTCTAATTAAAAAAATATTTAATAGCATAAGATGCTGAGCTTGTTGATCGAAAGGTCAGCAGTTCAGCGGTTTGAATCCCTAGTGCTGCGTAACGGAGTGAGCTTCTGTTACTTGTTCCAGCTTCTGCCAACATAGCAGTTCGAAAGCACGTAAAAAATGCAAGTAGAAAAATAGGGACTACCTTTGGTGGGAAGGTATCAGCATTCTGTGCACCTTTGGCATTTAGTCATGCCAGCCACATGACCATGGAGATGTCTTCGGACAGTGCTGGCTCTTTGGCTTTGAAACGGATGAGCACCGCTCCCTAGAGTCAGGAACAACTAGCACATATGTGCGAGAGGAACCTTTACCTTTACATTTTGAAGTTGCTTTGTGTTATTTCCTACTTTAACTTATTGTGTGCCTCAGCTATTATAATCAAGAGACACACATCCATATTCATCCCAGCCCTCGTGTTTTCTGTTCATATACAGTTACTTCTCAACTTACAACTATTCATTTAGTGTCTGTCCAAAGTTACAACAGCACTGTGACTTATGACCATATTTCATACTTATGACCATTGCAGCATCCTCGTGGTCACGTGATCAAAATTCAGATACTTGGCAACTGGCATGTATCGATGATGGTTGTAGTGTCCTGGGATCATGTGATCCTCTTTTGAGACCTTTTGACATGCCAAGTCAATAGAGAAGCAGATTCACGAAACAAAAGTGTTACTAACTTAACAAGTACCAGTCCTGGAGTCTGGGGAAGGCTTGGACAAGGGCTCTGAGTCGGAGGCAGAGAAAGGGCCATCTGGGAGGTACGTGCTGCCTCCGGAGCCTCCAGAGTCGGACCTCAGTGAGGCAGAGGAACAGGGGGATCTTCTTCCCAGTGCACGCATGCACAGAGCTGCCAGAAGGCAAGAGCAGTTAAAACAAAAGGGACGACTCGGGAGTAGGGCTGGGAGATGATTGGCCCATCCCATAAGACTTAAAAGAGGAGCAAAGGCATGTGGGCCTTTGCAGGAAGCAACGTTTGTTCATTCTGTTCAGCTTAAAGGCTGAAGCTCTGTTTGATTCTGGACTCCGTGTGGCTTTGCCAATTAGGTCTTTGGCAGTGTGTCAAGGATGATAAAGGTGGGTGATTATCAGCCTTATCCCAAAGGACTCTTTACAACTAATTGGGACTCATCTGTGAATGAACAGAATTCACAGCTGTTGCAATAAAAGAGGTTTTTGGGACTACTCTTGTGTTTTAATGACTCAGGAAGCCTAGGTCAGAACACCGTGATTCATGTAACAACTATGGCAAGAAAGGTCGTAAAATGGGGCAAAACTCACTTGACAACTGTCTTTCTTATCAATGGAAATTTTGGACTCAGTTTTGGTTGTAAGTTGAGGACTACCTGTGCTATTCATATTCCTGTATCATAAAAAGGGTCTTGTAGGTTGCTTTTGAGATACTGTATTCTGATGGGTTTTCATCTATTCTGCGACCTGTTCCTACTTTAATTGTCCTTGGTTATGCTGAGTTGCCTTCTAAAGTCATTTAGAATCAGTGTCTTTAATTTAATTTTAATTAAATGAACCTTAGATTATTTTTTTTAAAAAAAATTAATCAGTCAAACAAATGGCAGAAATAGTTATTTTGCATCCATACTGGAATGCTCCTGGTACAGAAAGGGTTCCATTTCATGGAGTATAACTTTTATGCCAGCCCTGTGCATTGTTCTACCTTAAAGTGACCAACTTTTCATTGTTTTTGTAGTCTCTTTAAGCTGTTAGATCAAATATTAGTGCCATAATATTTTCTAATCACTTAGCAGGAAAATATAGAAGTCTCATTTACCTTATGGTCAGATGTTAGGTACACTGTTGTGATTTATCACTTACTATGTAAATACTCATTTATGTTTGAGTCTGAGAATAAAAACTAGATACAGATTGGAGTGTAGGTCTAGATCAGTCCTTTTAAGCAGCTTTTCTTGCTGCTAAATTTCTTCCCTTAATTCTGGTTATCACCTTTAAAGCGCTCCATGGCTCAGGACCTGGTTATTTACGGGACCGCCTGCTACCACCAATAGCCTCCCACCGGCCAGTACGCTCCCATAGAGAGGGGCTCCTCCGGGTGCCGTCGGCCAAACAATGTCGGCTGTCGGCCCCTAGAGGGAGAGCCTTCTCTGTGGGGGCACCTACGATTTGGAACGAGCTCCCCCCGGAGATACGTAGGATCCCGGATCTGCGCACCTTCCGCCGCGCACTTAAGACTTTTCTATTTTATCAAGCTGGCCTGGCCTAAATCTTCCCCCTTTTTAAATGTGGAAATTTTAAATTTTTAAATTTTAAATTCGTCTTTTTATAGGGGTATGGGTAAGGCATTTTAAATTGGGGAGCCATTTTAGATTTAATTCTGTTTTAAACGTATTTTAATTGTTTATATTGTATGTTTTTAACTTTGGCTGTGCACCGCCCCGAGTCCTTCGGGAGAGGGGGCGGTATAAAAATCTAATAAATAAATAAATAAATAAATAAATAAAATTAATTTATTTTATTTTAGGAGATTTATATTGCCGCCTATTCACACATGGCAACTCAGGGCGGCTTACAGAATATAAAATCACATATAAAAACAATAAAACTAATAAAAGAAGAGTCATATAATAAATTAATGTAATAAAATCACCCCTCCACTCCCTGCCCCGGCGACAGCACCTCACACGAGCCATTTAATGGGCTCCATCCCAATCTGCGTTTCCCAGACCCTCTGGCGGAACCAGGTCTTCAGTGCCTTCTGGAAGAGTATTAGAGTGGGGGCCGTTCTAATCTCTGGGGGAATGATGTTCCAGAGAGAGGGAGCCACCATGGAGAAGCTCCTTCTTCTGGACCCACCAGGTGTATCTCCCTAGGAGATGGGACCTGCAACATTCCTTGCCTCCCTGCTCTAATGGATCGGATAGATGTGACCGGCAAGAGACGGTCCCTCAGATAATCAAAATATACTCTATATGGAGACCCACAGTATAGTGCACTTAACCCTGGATTTAAATGTAATTTAAAGCAATCATAAAAGATGTACATAACATATTAAAGTTGAGTTGAATATCATTAATTGAAACCAATACTTAACTTTATACTGTTGAATTTATTACTGTACAGCAGTGGTTCTCAACCTTGGTCACCACACCATAAAAAAGATGTTGAGACTCTAGAAAGAGTGCAGAGAAGAGCAACCAAGATGATTAGGGGACTGGAGGCTAAAACATATGAAGAACTGTGGCAGGAACTGGGCATGGCTGATCTAGTGAAGAGAAGGACCAGGGAAGACATGATAGCAATGTTGCAATATTTGAGGGGCTGCCACAGAGAGGAAGGGGTCAAGCTATTTTCCAAAGCACCTGAAGGCCAGACAAGGAATAATGGATGGAAACTGATCAAGGAGAGATTCAACCTAGAAATAAGGAGAAATTTTCTGACAGTGAAAGCAATCAATCAATGGAACAGTTTGCCTTGGGAAGTTGTTGGAGCTTCATTACTGGAAGCTTTCAACAAGAGACTGGAGTGCCATCTGTCAGAAATAGTGTAGGGTCTCCTGCTTGAGTGGAAGGTTGGATTAGATGACCTACAAGGTCCCTTCCAACTCTGTTTTCTATTCTATTCTATTCTATTCTATTCTATTCTATTCTATTCTATTCTATTCTATTCTATTCTATTCTATTCTATTCTATTCTTTGCCACCAACCTCCTTCAAATACCTTTTGTGTCAATGGATCATAACCACAAACCACTACGACTTAACTCAACACTTAAATCATAATATTTTTTCAAGACTTCGTGGACCCCCTGTGACAACATCACAATTCCCCAGGACCACAGGTCGAGAACCACTGCTGTCCAGCTTTTGTTTATGAATCACACTGCACCATTCATTTGTTTTTGATCCTTAATTAGGCGGTCTATTTTGTGTGAGGTTCCTATAAAAGTTTGTTTAGCTTTCTCTTACCTGGACGAAGATGTAGGCTCTGTAATCTGCCTTTGCATTCGTGCGTGTTTGATGAGATGTTCTTTTAAAGCATTTTGGACTTCTGCTGGAATGTCCGGGGAAGTGTGGCTGATTTTCATCGCTGCTTCCAGGATGTTTGTTGGGGGCTTCCCGTTTTCTTTAAGGCTTTCCTTTTTCTCGTTGGTTTCCAAAAACTCAGGGGGAACGGGGGTGGTGCTCTGAGGGATGCTTGTTGTGTCTGAAGCGGTGGGTTTGCTTCGCCACCATGGCCAGCACAACTTCCAGAAGACGAAGAGCGAGACTAACAGCAAGGCGAGCCCACAGAAGCTGACGACAACCGCGAGCAGGCTGACAGAGATGTCTGCAAACAAGGGAGGAAAGGCATTCGAGTGGCTTTAATTTATTTGAATTGGTAGATTAATTCAAAATGTAATTGGGTCAATTAGTAGATTAGTCACGTTATAAGGCAATCTGAGTGCTGATTTAATCGGCTGCAAGTTGAGCTGCGTGTGTCTGTGTGCATGTGAGCCCGCCTCTCACGTGGTCCGCTTGGGAATAGGCCATGGCCTGGTAGTGGGTCGCGGTAGTGGGTCGTTGGGGACCCCTGATCTAGCTGATGGAAGCCATGGTGTTGCAACGCAAGCCCTTCCTTTTTTTCCTACATGCATCACATTACACACATCTCCCTTCTTGACCACATCACAAATGACACCATTCGACAACATTTTGGTGTGGCGCCAATTACAGAGAAGATGAGAGAAGGCCGGCTCCGCTGGAATGGACATGTCCTGAGAGCAGCACCTTCCACTGTTACCAAGATAGCCTACCAACTAGAAGTTAATGGCCGGCGACTTCGCGGGCATCTAAAACAGAGATGGCAAGATACCGTCAACAAAGATATGCAAGTCGCGGGCCTGCGCCCTGAAGATGCAGCTGACCATGCAAAGTGGCATTCAATGATCCGAAAAGCAGGCCCTGCACTTTCGGGAATATGCTAGGAAGAAGAAGAAGAATCAGATCACACATATTATGCCTAAACACATTGGCACTTTCATCGCAACATGACAACTGTTTTCACCTTTGTGATGAAAAGCAACAAGATCCTGATGATGTGCTGCTCAAACATATAACCTAATATTACACCAACTTTGAAGTGCAAGAAGAAAATATGGGGGTGAACTGTCCCCAGTCTTCCAGACCTTAAAAAAAGGATCTGATCCAAAACTTTCTGCTCTTTAAAAAAAAAAAAAAACGCCTTAAGATATAGGACTTGAAACTCATAACTCAGTTTTTAATATTTTGATATACTTTTATATTTCCATGGGAGGTTTTTATGCTTCTTTGCTTATTCTAAGATATTTTTTAATTCACTCCTCTCACTGTTTTAGCAAAAAAGGCAACATAAAAACTGTTGAAAAGCCATTACTCTTTATTCCAAAGTACTGTTTATGTATTTTGTGTATTTATTTATCTTATTCATCAAATTTATATGGCCATCCATCTCACAGAAAGTGACTCTGGGCAGCGTACAACAATTCAATAAAGCAGTAGAAATATAAAATAGCCATTATCTAAAACCATTACAGGTAATCCTCAATTTACGACCACAACTGACCCCAACATTTCTGTGAAGCGAGACAGTTGTATGAGTTTTGCCCCATTTTATGACCTTTCTTGACACAGTTGTTAAGTGAATCACTGCAGTTGTTAAGATAGTAACATGGTTGTTAAGTGAATCTGGCTTCCCCGTTGACTCAGAAAGTTGCAAAAGGTGACCACATGATCCCGGGATATTTGCAACCGTCATAAATATGAACCAGTTGCCAAACATCCAAATTTTGATCATGGGACCATGAGGATGCTTCAATGATTGTAAGTGTGGAGAATGGTCACAAGTCACTTTTTTCAGTGCCGTTGTAACTTTGAACAGTCATTAAATGAATGGCTGTAAGATGAGAACTCCCTGTATATAATAACCGTTGAAAAATATTAAAAACTATAAAAACAAAACTAAGAACATAGAATCATAGAGCTGGAAGGACCTCAAAGGTCTTCTACAATTCCCTGCTCAAAGCAGAAGACTTTATACTAGGGATGTCAAACTCAATTTCATTGAGGGCCGAATCAGGGTTGTGTTTGACCTTGGGGGGGGCAGGGGGGGCATGGCCAGATCAACGTCACTTGTGTTGGAGGCACCTGTGGTGGTCTGATTGCTCTGCCAGTGAAAACGGGCTCGTGAGCTCTGTTTTCGGCTGCAACGGCCTCCTGTTTTCACTGGGAGAGGCATCATGGGCCAGTCCTTTGCTTTTTTTCAGGGCGGCCCCAAGGTCCAGATCTAAGCACCCTGTGGACTGTATCTGACCCCCAGGCCTTGAGTTTGACACCCCTGTTTTATACCATTCTTGTCAAATGGTTGTCCAGTCTATTTTTGAAAACCTTCAGTAATGGAGCACCCATAATTCCAGGAGACAAGCTGCTCCATTGATTAATTATTGTCACTGTCAGAAAATTTCTCCTTCCTCTTCTGTTGGATCTCTCTTCAGCAAGCTTCCACCCATTCTAAGATGTCTTTCATTTTAGCTGGTGGAAAGTTAGAGGAGAAAATTGGCTTGAGGGCCAGAGATTTCAGGACCCTCTTCTGAACGGGACATACTACCTGTAGTTTTGATCCTTCATCTTAAAGGAGGATGATTTAGAATTCCTTCCCTACTATTTCTCAAATTATGGGGAGGTCTGAAAACCGAGTGCTTTGGTAACTTCCCTTGGTTCCTCCCTGCTGTCATTCAGAAAGTTGATAAAAACCCATTTTTAGGCCTTCGGGTACTAGTGGTCTGCTTGCAACACTATTATCGAGGATGGAGTTGGTGGTTGGTATTATTTAATGGCATGTTTATCTCATTTTTAGTGCTTAATGATAGTTTTACGATATGACAATGTTATTCTTCTATTTTTACTGCTGTAAGAGGCTGAGCATTATTTTCAACTTGCAGTATACAATTCTGAAACAAATAAATAAACACAATGATCTTTGTGATTGCCCATTTTGCCTTGAAAGTAAGAGTTGAGGAGTTGTTTTTTTTAATTACAGTGGAAATGTTGCTAAAATTCTGGTGCTCAGACCAGTATTTCAGTGAGAAAAGCAATTTTTGGCTTTTGAAAAAGTAGAATTACAAGACGATGAAAAGGTTTCAATAGTGAGAATTCTAAAGAATGATTGCAGAGACATAACATGTTTATCTGTCCAATGCATCGTTGCCTGCATATCTAGCTATCTAGCTATCTCCGAGACCGCCTGCTGCCACCGACGACCTCCCATCGACCCGTGCGCTCCCACAGAGAGGGCCTCCTCGGGGTGCCATCAGCCAAACAATGCAGGCTGGTGACCCCCAGGGGGAGGGCCTTCTCTGTGGGGGCTCCCACCCTCTGGAATCAGTTGCCCCCTGAGATAAGGAGAATCCATGACCTCAGTGCCTTCCGCCGTGCCCTTAAAACCTTCCTTTTCCAACAAGCCGGGCTGGCCTAATTCTTTTTAAGTGTTTTTAATTGTTTGGTTTATTGTTTTAACTAATGGGGCCAAATTTATATATATTTTTTAACTGTATTTTAATATTTGTATTTGATGTTTTTATTTGGCTGTTCACCGCCCTGAGTCCTCAGGGAGAAGGGCGGTATACAAATTCAAAAATAAAATAAAATAAATATAACCTCTTAAAATAAAGAAGAGCGATGCTATCATACCAATGAAGTTTGTGCAGTTCTTCCATTCTATCCAAAAACTCAAAGATTTTCTTCAATAAGAAAAACGATGGAATGTAGAGTTACCATAGTTGGATTGAAAAATCCCCCATTAGATAACCACAAAGTATCACAATTTTAAATTCCTCTTTGCTGCCATCTAATGATCATCCAGAACTAATGCAGTTGGTCCTTGACTTATAACAGTTCACTTAGCGATGGTTTGAAGTTAAACGGAACGGAAAAATGTGACTTATGACCATTTTTCACACTTATGACTATTGCAGTATCCCCATGGTCACATGATTTACATTCAGATGCTTGACAAGTGACTCATATTTACGACAGTTGCCGTGTCCTGGGGTCATGTGATCCCCTTTTGCAACCTTCCCATAAGCAAAGCCAATGGGGAAACCTGATTCACTTAACAACTGTGTTACTAATTTAACAACTGCAGTGATTCAGTTAACAAACATGGCAAGAAAAGTTGCAAAATGGGGCAAAACTCACTTAACAAATTTCTCTCTTAGCCCCATAAATTTTGGGCTCAATTGTGGTCATAAATTGAGGATTACCTATAATGCAGGGATGAAATCCAAAAAATTTCACTACCAGTTCTGTGGGCGTGGCTTGGTGGGTGTGGCAGGGGAAGGATATTGCAAAATCTCCATTCCCACCCCACTCCAGGGGAAGAGTACTGCAAAATCTCCATTCCCTCCCCTCCTGGGGGAAGGATATTGCAAAATCTCCATTCCCATCCCATTCTGGGGCCAGCCAGAGATGGTATTTGCCAGTTCTCTGAACTACTCAAAATTTCCACTACCGGTTCTCCAGAACCTGTTAGAACCTGCTGGATTTCACCCCTGCTGTAATGAATTATAAGTATAGGTAGTCCTCGAATTATGACTGTAATGGTGCCTGCCCATCATAGTCATAAGTCATGATAGTCGTAAAACTGGTTGATCACATGACTGACTTGATTTTACAACCTTTTTTACAGAAGATAATAAGCAAATGCTGTGGTCATAAAGCAAGCACTGCGGTTGTTAAACAAACCAGAGCTTCGTCCAAAACTGGAAGCAGCAGGTTTTAGCAAAACTATCATAAAATGTCATAAAATGGTCATGTGACTGTGCCATGATGTAAACAGAGATTGGGCTGTGTTATCAAGCACCTGAAGTTTAGTCACATGACTATGGGAGGAACTATGGCATTGGAACTTTAAATCCAAGTCATAATTCGCTCTAAGGTAGGTTTGTTGATTGGACAATCATTTGTCTGAAAAGGTATAGGGTCTCCTGCTTGAGCAGGGGGTTGGACTAGAAGACCTCCAAGGTCCCTTCCAACTCTGTTTATCTTTTTTTAAATGCTGAATGGTTGCTAAGTGACCGTTGTAAGTTAAGGACTATCTGTAAGTTGAGGCATGCCTGTAAGTTCAGTGGCATAAGGACATCTCTAAAATATGAGTGAATGAATAAGATAGATAGATAGATAGATAGATAGATAGATAGATGGATGGATAGATGGATAGATAGAATAGCAATAGCAATAGCAATAGCACTTAGATTTATATACCGCTTCCCAGTCCTTTACATCCCGCTCTAAGCAGTTTACAGAGTCAGCATA